CCAGGAGGCAATAAATGTTAATAAACTGGGAAAGTCCACCTGCATCCAGAAGATGGACATTGAACAAGATTGCATGTTCACAGTACAGTTGTAGGAAAGTAGAGGTCGTTGCAGTTGCTGCTTATGTGATAACTAGTTAAAAAGGTGCATTTTCTGTTTACTATGTAAATCTGGCTTGCTTTTACTGTTTTTGTAACTGATGTTTTGCCTACTGCTGTGGAGAACCTAAATTCCGATTGCCATGTCTGTCAAGTTGTATGAGGTCACTTGAATCTGACATAGATTGTTTGACTGTCAAAGGTGGTACTGCTGCCCTGCCTCCCGCATCGGTCTGTGTGTTTCTGTTCTCTATGCTGGCAGTAGAGTTTGTGCTATTGGGGATCTAATGTTGCTGGAAGCAGGATTGAGAGAAATTAGTTGACTAGTTCATTGAATGGCCACCCAAGCACTAGTGTGACAGGAGAGCAGGAGATGTGGAGTGTAAGAAGATGATAATCCAGTTTAATACCACTATACAAGGGGGTTAGCTTCCAGGGCTGCTCCCACAACCTGTGAGTGTGGGCTGCACTCCACAGAATCCTTGGCAAGTACGGGGCACACTTGCACTTTTGGGTCTGTAAGATGTGGAAGAAAGGCTGAAGAAATGTATTCCTTATTTCCTTTCTCTTCCCATCAGAAGCTTGGTTACAGCAGCAAGGGTGCTTATGGACGAGTGAGACAAGCATCTCTGGAACTTCCAAACCTGTTGCAGTCCAGACAAGCTGGGGGTCATGCCTCTGAACTGTTCTCTACATGCTAACAAATTCTAAAAGCAAGGTTCCTGATTGCCAGCATGGTCTCTCCTAATGTGACAAACCTATGGAAACATTGAATAGCTTCTAAACTCCAGTTCAGTCTCAAGATGAATTCTTATTACTTTCTTTTTCTTGACTCTACTGGTTTACATAAGTTTAGGGGAAAAGTATATACCACAGAATGAGTTAAATCAAGCTAACAATTTTGTAGTAAAAACTTTGCTTAGTTCCACTTTTGCTAACTGTTGAAGGCACTTAATTTGTCTTTAGTAGGTCTGTTAACTGTCTTGATAAGATCCCAACTACTAACTAGCATGCTAAACATGAACTCAAGCTATTTTTTGTGTTGAAGGGCTGTGGTTTGAGAGAGAACTGGGGAGGCAGAAAGGATTTGTTTGTAGGCAGGACCTATCAGTATCCAGCAAAAAGAGTGCATGGAATAGCCTCATTTGCCAAAAATGTGACAGTCATCTTTCATTTCTTTAGATTTTAAGTTGAATCTCTGAAAGATACTAATGGTCACAGAAGCTGGTGGTAGAGCACTTTGGGACACTGCAAATGGATCTTGGAAAGGCTGTTGCTGCCTGAATATTAGAGAACAGTACTCATAGGAGAAAAATGCCCTATTCTATGGTGAAGAACAATATTGTGGATATTAGATGACTGCTTTTTTTGCCAAGTGGCTGATTGTTAAAGCAAAAAACCTTCTGCCAAAACAGAAATTGGATTCCTTCCATAGCTAGAATTGAGTTGCCCCAATTTATTTAGTTGTTCAGAAAACACTTTAATTATTACCTTATGCTTACTTCGAAAGAAATACTTTTAATAATCTTGCTGTTCTGACACATTGCTAAAATTACTTGGGAAAAAGGTTGTTTCATTTGCTAGGCATCCTAAATGAGTTTTTCACCTGATGATGTATTATTGGTAGTTGTGCAATAATTGGACTTGACAGAAGAATTGAAAGTGAACTGATGTTCTGTTCCTATAAATCAGTGTTGCTCAGATCTTTGGAACTGCATTTCTCATAGAAGTGTAGTTTTCTGTCTTTGCAGGGGGCAGGTATCCTTATTGTTTCAAAAATGTGTCAGATGAAATACTATGAATGGCATTCACTTTGAGATAAGTCTCTACTCGTACAGTTTGAGTTTCCTCGTGACTGATTTCAGTGAGTGGGTTTACATACTGCCTTTGAAATGGAGCAGTCTTTATGTGTAATCTTTAGATTTTAGGGGATGTAATCATCTGCTGAAGTCAGCTTGCATTCAAACAGAATAATTGCATACAAAAAGTTGTGGTAGGATTTACTAGGGCAAGACTTAGTGCAACAGAACAGATGACCCTAAAGAATTGTTACAAACAACTGTGTTTCTTATTCAGGGAAGAAAACTCCTCTTTTAAGCATACTGCAACTAGTCGTGGTTAGCTTTCATTTGCCATGCCAGGTTTGCTGCTAACTTAACATTTTCCTTTTTTGAGCCCTAAAAGGGAAGATAAGAGGGACTTACACGACAAAGTTAAATACTATGTCAGCCATTAACTATGTAAGTAAAAATGTAAGGAAAATTGAAAGTAAAGATGGATCCTGAAGTAGAAAGTTTCAGACCTCATTTACTCATATTTCTGACATATGCTGAAGTATTTTTGACCTTTTTTTTTTTTTAAGGTAGGTTGGTTTGGCTCTTTTTGAACACTGTTTTTTGGATTCTTGACCAGAATTTTTAAGATTCCAGAGTGACATTTATGCTTCTAAGGAATTGCCCCATCTAGAGGGGGTGGTTCTTCTAACCTGTAGCAAAATTCAGAGTGTGTTATTTCAGAGCAGTTCTCATCCTCTGTTGTCATCTGTACCAGTGATGATCGCGCTGATACTCCCAAGTGCCTCCAACCAGTCTTTGCTGCATGTTCACTGCTTACTTTAGGCTGGTCTTCACCATGCAGGTTAGAGGTCAATATCTATAGTAAGGCATCTGTTCTTACTTGTAGTAGTAATAATAATATGTAGCCTAATGGTAATAGGTAGCTCTGAGGAGTGCTCTGTTACTTCAGTAATGGTAAAGGATAAAGCAGGAGCATTGAAACATGACTCTACACCTACCCCTTTGTCAAAAGCAAATGGAGAGTCTAATTTGGGATGAGTAGCATAACACTGCCTTTAATGCATCCTTCAGAAACGTGTATGCTTTTGCTAGCCCTTCTGTCAGTGCCTGCATTGATTCAGTCTTCCTCTTCTCAGGTGAATCAGGCATGTGGAAAACAAATCATCCGAGTGTTTAAGTATGAACTGGTGAACTTTTGGTGAACAGGCGATATTCTCATAAAGTCCTTTAGAAAATAAATAAAAATTGTTTCCAAAACGATGTATATTTTCAGACGTATTCCTGGAATTTGCTGCAAACATTCTCATTGAGCATTGACTGTTTTTATTATATTCACTGTATTTTTTTAATACTTAAGTTTAGAAAATTTTAGTGGTGGAATATTGTTGTCATAATTAATATGCTGGCTTTTTTATAGTATTAAGTAGAAATATATGTGTTTAATATGACAGGTAAACTTAAAACCTGCCTCATGTTTGAACTCTTGCTTCCTAGTACCACCTTCTTTACTGTATTGTTTAACTTCCCTTTTTCAGTGACTTTGCTCCTAAGTACTAGTTCCTTTGACAGATACCCTTCTACTTGAAGTAACATGTTCACTTGTTACTATTTACTCCTTAATAACTTATCCTTCACATTATTAGTTGCAATGGAAATGGAGTCAACACTTATGTTCTGTATGCTGGCCTATGTAGAAAAGTAAGATTTTCTTTTAATTCTATTAATTGCTGCTAGTGTGTCTTACATGTATGCAACCAGTTCAAAAATACGTAGTGTCAGGAGAGACTCTTTGAGCATTGTCTTGACAAATGTTAAGATTACAGTGCTAAACACTTTTTTACTCAGCTTAGTCCAAGAGCTCAGTGACGAGATACAGTTCTCTAAACAATTGTCAAAGCTTGGTTTTTAAATATCCTTGAAACTGAGAGAAAAATGATGATGTATAAAAAGTAAAAGAATTGCAGTGTAAGCATGCTGCTCTGAACTGTCCAGGGACCTCTCATGGGCATAAGCACAGCTGTAATTTTGTGGCTGTAGTGGGTTGAGACTGGAATGTATAATTCTAGAATAGCATTTTTTTTTTCTTTGAATTGCTATCTTTATAGTACAAATAGAAATAGTATTCTGTGTATATGTAAACCAGATGTACAAATGAAATCTGCAAAGTGCTGTTGGTGACTTCAAGTTATCAACGTTGTGGTACCATCTGTCTTAACTCGGTAACCCCAAATACCCACATTTTCAGCCCTCTCCCAGTACGTCTCTCCTCATTTGTTCCAAATCTTCTCCATCTCCCTTCGGAAGACTTAAATATTCCCTGTCTCTTCTTCAGAAGACATGTAATCTGTGAAAGAGTAAATCGGAACGCAGCAGGGGGTACAAAGAGACTGTAGCAGACTCACCATGAGTCAGAACACCTACCTCTTGGATGCTTCCCTGTCAGAGGAGGTGCTCCCTGTCCTGCCACTCTCTGTGCCTTGCTTGATTTGTAGCCCAGGGTGGTGGCCTAGAGCAAACAACCGCTGCTTCCTGCCTTCTCTGTCAGTCAGAACACGTTCCTTTGCTGCCCGCATCCTGTGCTGAGTAGCTGAGTACGAACAATATTTCACAGCTTTGGTTTCTGCTCCTCTGCGTGGTCTGTCTCGGGAGGGTCCTTGTGCAAAGTAATAGGGCCAAAAATCCCACTTCTGTTATGGTTTATAGGCTTCTATGAATCTGCTGCAAGCAATAGTGACTCAAGTTCAAATCTGTAACTTTAAAATGTATTAAACAGTCAGATAATACACATTAACCAAAGGAGGTTCTAGTAAGGCTGAACTAGCTTCATCCAGGCATGCCAGCAGACATGGTGTTTCATGTGCCTTTAAAAGGTAAATGACTGTATAGTTGGAATCCTAAACCACAATTAAAATTATTGTACTTTTAGTCCGAGTTTAACCCCATTTGCAACCTTGGTCTGTAGGCCGCTTCTGTTTTTATTCTCACAGGGAGTCATGTAACCATTTTATAGTACAGATTTAGCCATATATATTATTCCTTCAGGATCAAAATGCCTCTGTAACAACTTCATTGATTTTTTTTTTTTTCTTTCGCTTTTGTTTCCCAGGCTGTGAAGATATTATTGCCGAGAGCATCTCACTAGACACCTTAATTGCCATTCTGAAGTGGAGCTCTCAGCCGTACGGTTCCAAGTGGGTATATCGTCAAGCGCTACATTTCCTCTGTGAGGAGTTTACCCAGGTCATGACTTCAGATGTCTTCTATGAACTCAGCAAGGACCACCTGCTCACAGCTATTCAGTCTGACTACTTACAGGTAACCTGCAATGCAGAATAAAGCTGGCCCTGCTTGAAGCAGGATGTATTACACCAGTACTAGAAGCTCTTGGGAGTAGCTTATTTTAAATTGTAGGCAAGAATGGGTTTGTATACACACTAAGCATTCCTTCTTTAATATGTAAAAAAATGAAATTGAAGTAGTGATGAAGAAAACTGTTTTGTTCTTGGCTTGTAACACAACCCAAACTGATGGTATATGTTATTGCTTAGAAGCCTAATAATATATCAGAAATGGCTGCAAATTACTTTAACAAAGCATTTCTGAACCTAACAATTGCCTTGCATGTTTAAGTGTTTTATAAAATTATGTGGTGGTAGTAGTTTTGCTGTAACAACATACATCCTAGTTGGGGGTGGTGGGAGCTAATAAACTAGTAATTGTTCAGAAGGCTTAATTTATTTTGGGGGGAGACATAAAAATACCTTTTCCAATAAATATTGCAGAATTCGTGGGTTTTTTTGGTGACTTTCCTTCAGTGATTGTGTTATTTTTAGGGAGAGGAAACCATACTGCCTAATAGAAAGCCTGTGGATTTTTGCTGCCATTTCTCTTCAGGGGAGATATCTTTATAATGATGACCAGCCTTTTATAGCTTAAAGATGACTGGATTATTTTTTTAAAGGTGTATCTGTGCCAATCATACCTTGTTTTTAAAGTGTAAAGTGTTAGTATTTAAAGTGTTTTAAAAAAATGTATTGTTTACTTTAAACACTTCAGGAATTACAGTAACAGTGCTGTTGATCTTCCATGACAGTGTGTATTATGACTAAATTTCCTACCCTAGTTGTTAAGAAATTATGTAGATCAATTTAAATTTTTCAGTACATGATTTTTTTCCCTCTAAAAATGTTCAGTGGTTAGCACGTGTATATAAGTATGAACAAAGCAAAGTTGTTTGTTTATAGTACTACTGAAAATCTTTCACTTCACCTAGATGATAGTTTAGCTGGTTTGATTATTTTCATAGCTTTCCAGGCTCTGCAGATGCTGAATTTGTAATCTTAAACAAGAGATCCAAACACCCAGTGTAAGAACTGTCCCTTTTAATTACCTTTAATTATTCAAATTTAATACCTGTAAGTTTTCATGCTATACAGAACTTTTCCTTGTGTAGAAAAAAATTTCTTCCCCTCTTCGTAGGGATTCAATAAGTGACATAAATCTAGAAATCATGGTGGTGATATGCCAGTAGTACTACCTTAAAGTATTTGGAGGAGGTGGTGTAGCAGATAATAAAGTACAAATACTTATTTTGCTCTTGTTGTGGGTTTGTTTTTGGTTTTGTGGTTTTTTTGGGTTTTTTTTTTTTCTGTGTGGCACTAAACTAAGCAGATACAGATTGCTGACTTTCTCTTTCTACCAGGCAAGTGAACAAGATATTCTTAAATATCTGATTAAATGGGGAGAACATCAGTTGATGAAGAGAATAGCAGATCGAGGTAAGGCTCCTTTAAGCTACATAGTACTAAACCAAATAAACCAAAATGTATGGAAGTTCTTTTTTGTGGATAATCTGTAACTTAAGGAAATTTAATCTACTTTGTTTAGTTTTGACCATACTATGAACAAATGCACTTTTTTAAAAAAAGCTTTTGTTCTCTAAAAAATGAGAGCACAGGCATTCTGAGGGAGCTGGGATTGTTTAACCTCAAGAAGAAAAGTCTTAGGGGGGATTTTAGCAAAGTCTATAAATATCTAATGGGTGGAAGCAAAGAAAATAGATCTGCGCTCTTCTCTTGGCAAGCCAGGACAGGATGAGAGGCAATGAGGCATTAACTGAAATAGAGGAAATTCTGTTTAAACACAAGAAACTGAAGATGGTCAGACACTGGAACAGGTTGCCCAGAGTATTTATGGGTCTCCATCCTTGGAGGTGTTCAAAACCCAACTGGACATAATTGTGGGCAGCCTCCTCTACCCTCCCTGGGGAGGTGTAGGGAGAGGATGGTGGTTGTGGCCAGAGCAAACTTCTAGAGGTTCCATCAGCCTATTAAGATTGTCTGACTTTTAAGTCTGATTAATTTCCTGTTGTCTCAGAATTATTTTTTCTTGCAACTAATTGATCAAATAAAAAACCCCGTGCAGTGTCTCTTATTTTTCTGCGCACATGCAGGCTTCTCACAGTAGTCTTATTCTTAGTTTATGGTGTCAACCTTTCACTTAAGTTTTAGTACATTTCTCCCACAGAAATCTGTGCTAGTGAGAAACAAGCCATCAAGTAGCATGAGTGTTTTTCCTAAAGTAGATGTAAATGTGTTTTTATTAGCTCAGATGCGTATTATTGCTACAGTGGTAACTTCAAGGGCAATCTCGCATGTGTTGCGTGTGGGAAGTAGGCTAAATATATATTTCCCAAATAATGAATGCAAGTAGCTTGTAGTTTATCCCCACCATGAAGTGTCAATCAGACAGTGCAAGAGGAACAGAGAGGGAAGAACCTGCCTGTGTGAAAACAGAGCAGTGCTAGTGTGGCTACTGTCTTTGGAGGTCTAGCCATGTTTTTGAAATCCATTGTTATTGCTTGCAATACAACTGCTTTGTCATGGACATGTTGTGTGAAATGCAACAAAAAGTCAGTTAAAATAACGTGCTTTTAGCAACATAGTAAGTATTAACCTTCTGTTTTCAAAGCAAAATTTTCTAAGTGTTTATCTTGAGGCACATTGGAATGTAATGGAGCCAGTTAAACAGTAACAGACCTGGACTGAGGAGAAGCTGCTCATTTGGAGTAATTGCACGGCTTCCTGGTCTGTGGCGTCATTAAGTAAATGGCTCATTTCTCTTTCCTGGGATCATCAGATAACATGATAAGCAAAAGCAGAAGTAAGAGCTCTGCCAAGTTCTGTCAGATTAGGGCCAAATTTAGGCTAGTGATTTGGTCTAGATTCCTCAGTGACACTCCTGATTTTGCAACTGAATATGTGGTGGTATCAATCAAATACCAGAAAGCATTAGAAATTGTAATGGGCTGTGGCTAAAACTTGAGCTGCCTGTACTGAAGGGAGGATGGGTATGTTTGACAGGTTTCCTCAAAAAGCAAAGCTAGTCGAATTCAGGTTGGGCACAATACCTAAAATACAGGTGAAGGTAGTTAACTGGGGAGGGAGAATGACCCGAGTGTGTCATACATTGTCATCTTGCAATCTCTAGGAAGATACCCACTCTTGGCAGGAACGGGTATCCTGCCACCAGGAGAGCAATTTGAATGGGCTTGACACAGTCGTTACTAAGGTGGATTATGCAAGGAGGCTAGAATAATTTACCCCAGTGGACTCTTCAGGCCTTAATTTGTAGAAAATAAGTCTCTGAAAACTGCTGGGGAAAGAGAGAGGAGCTGCAGGAGAGAGTCCTTGGGGGAACTGCTAGTAGGGAGGTTTTTGTAGCTTAGCTCTTGGTAGAGCTTTATAACACCATTTTTGTGTTTTCTCCCTGGCTTACACTTTGAAACTGACAGCTGTGCAAATGGCCTGTGCTGGTATAAACTGAACCTGTCTCTATAGATGCTTCATACCAGATTTTAAGGCATGAAATAGTTTTGTGGAGCAATGCTGAGAAGCACTGTTGATTTAAAATTAGAATTTTCTTTCCTTTTCTAGAACTTCCTATAAGCCCTGTAACTCCTGCTTTCCTATTTAAACTTTCTGATGTAAACTTAGTATTTCTTGTTTCTTCCCACAGAGCCTAATTTACTCAGTGGTACTGCTCACAGTGTGAACAAAAGAGGTGTGAAGAGGAGAGATCTTGACATTGAGGAGCTGAGAGAGATCCTGTCTCCACTTTTACCTTTTGTGCGCATTGAGCACATTTTACCCATGAATAGTGAAGTACTGAGTGATGCAGTAAGTCAGTAGTCTTGTACAAATACTATCTGTAGGTTCTTTGTACTTCAGATTCGACGATGTTCAGGGGTTTGTTTTGTTTGTTTGTTAAGGATTAGCTCCTAAAATGTTATGACTCAGAGTAATAAGTGTATAGCTCTCTGGTTAAGTTTTCGGTTCTGTAAATCTATCAGAAGGCTAAAGAAAAATCAGTGGTGTAAGGATTCACTGTAAGAAATGTTTCTTGCAAGTTTTTCCCATCTTTATATTTAAAAAAACCATAAAACTCTTTCTTGATTCTTAAAGATGAAGAGAGGCCTGATTAGTACTCCTCCTTCAGACATGCTACCAACGTCAGAAGGTGGAAAGTCAAATGCCTGGTTGCGGCAAAAAAATGCTGGAATATATGTGCGGCCAAGACTGTTCTCGCCATATGTGGAGGAGGCTAAGGTAATAACCATTAACAACACTTGACTGTTGTTAAACTGAAGTCATCAGGGGGTTCTGTAAACAGGGAAAGATTTTGGTGTATTTTGTCTCTCTTTGCATGTACTGGCCTAAAATACTAACATTTTCAATTTAACAAGACTTACAAGATTGATCATCAGGCTCAAGTCTCTAGAACTGGTCAGAAAAATTTCAACAAAATTTTTTTTTGTCGAAATTGAAATGTTTGCGAGACAGATCTTGATGAAATTCCACCGGAAACAAAGCAGCGTTCTGAGGGAAACCTCCCTGGTTTCCAGCCAGTTTGCCGGCCCAGCTCCTCGGCAGCCCTCCTGGCAGGCGGATGGCAAGGTGAGAGCCTGAGAGTCCCAGTTTGCAGCTAGTCAGCAACCTTGGTGCCAGGTCTTTCAGGCTCCCCAGCTCCACCAGAGCTGGGTGGAGAACTACTATTCCACTTGGCAGAGGACTCTGATATTTCATCTTCTTGTTTGAATCAGAATGTACCCAAAATTCTTTCGATCCTCCGCAAAATGGAATAAATATCTTGTGTCCAATTTGACTGAAGTCCTTTATGTCCCGCTCAGGCAGTAGCTTCTCTATTTAATATCTTGCATGAGGACTGTCAAATTGAAGATCTTGTAGCATCTCTGATGGTGACGTTTGGTGACAGGGTGGAGATGGCTCTGTGTGGGGCAGAAATGTGCCATATTCTGTTTCACAGAATGGCAGCCTTGTAGGTCACTAACTAATGCCACCACTTAAGGCAGCTCTGACTTCAGTCACAAGCTCATGAGTCCCAGGAGGGACTGCAGGTGACTGCAGAACAAGAGGATTAGGTGAAGTGGTGCGCATTCATGTCGCCTACAAACTCTGACCACTACTTTGGTGAATTCAGAGCTTTTGCCCTGTGCCTAAGAAAAAAAAAAATTTTCTAAAGGTGTGGATTGTTGACATCCTCTTTGAGGGGAGGGGAGAAATAAAACTACTTTGCATTTTGGTCACAAAGGTTAGAGAGCACCAGGTGGCACTAAAACAACAAAGGAAGACTAGCCAGTTAAAATTTTATCTTTGTATCTTGGATTGTTAAAACAAACAAAAAATGTGTTAAAGAACTTGTGCTAAAAGCTTTGACTCTCTTAGTTTTCAGGTATACAGTATTGGAGTGCTTTAGTAGTAATCTTAAAAGTGCATTCTAAATTTGCCCCCCTTGTCAGGAATCCTACTTGTTTCTATTAGTTTCATATTATGCTATTAATAACTTTAAAAGCAACATTAGCTGTTTAACCTTAGAGGGAGGACTCTCAAACTTATTATCTGGTAACTATAACCCTATTCGTAGTTTAATTATTGTGAAATGCAGAAATTGTGGATGAGTGATTTCTGATTTTTTTTTTTCACTCCCCTGTTAGCCTCCCATTTTTTGAAATAAAACAATTTAACATTAAATGAGAATCTTAACAGGGAATGCCTAAATCCCTTTCTATTCTTTAGGACATCTGAGGGAAACAGGTTTCATTTTCAGACTGGTGCCTTCTACTCAGTGGCACAGAGTTGAGACCTATAGGTAGTAATTGTCTGAGACAGAGTCCAGAGGGTCTGGCCTCAAGAAGGTTACTTCTAATCTGACAAGTACAAAATAAACAAAGCAACCTTCCCAAACTTTATTCGCCTGCCTGCTCTTAGCTCTGAAACTCAGCTCTGTTCGTGACTGGAAAATGGAATAGAAAATGCTATGGAAAAGCCAAATACCGTTTGGGACCTGGAAAAGTTACGGTTTAGACATTGCTAGACTTGTGTCCTCGGGACTGTGTTCGCAGCAGGTCCCGGTGGGTATGTGTGCGCAGTGCCCTCATGAGGGCTCTAATGGCTGTCGTTGCAGTCAGTACTGGATGAGATGATGGTGGAACAAACCGATCTTGTTCGTTTGCGGATGGTCCGAATGTCCAATGTACCCGACACCCTTTACATGGTAAACAACGCGGTGCCGCAGTGCTGTCATGTGATTACCCACCAGCAAGTTAGCACTAACCAGTCCAGTCCTCCTTCAGTTATAGCCAATGAAATCCCAGGTAAGGCTGTTAGATCACTTGCAATGCCAATCGCTCTCGTGTGTGTGGGTGGGGACTTGGGGCCAGGGACAGTGAATGTGAATTATTGAATGTTATGATTTCCTCAGAGGGTAGTACTACACCATTTGGGCTTCTTCCCACCGAGTGGTAGTCGCTTTTGCTTTGGTCAACTCTGAAGACATTAACTATTTTTGGATGGCATAGTAACTGGTTAGAAAATAAGCTACTGGAGGGTGTAGTATTTTAACTTGCTTCGGCTGAGCACTTTGAAAAACCGTGGACTGGTTAAACTTGTTTTAGAACACTTGCTTGGAGCCTAACACTCTGTTCTCTCAGTTTTCTACAACCAGTCATCCAAGATGGATAAGATCCAGAAGGCTGGAAAATGGCAAAATACTAATTTCTTTTAAAAACAAAAAGCAGTGGAGAATAACTTGTAGGGCAGCTTAACTCAGTTTGCCAGAAAAATATTGGAAGTAGGCACTCAAAACACACTTTTTTAGTTTACCAAATCCACTTTAGCTTAGAAGTCAAACCAGCTTCATTCCTTGTATGACAGTAAGTTTTTATAGGTGGAAGTAGATATGGCCTCTCTTGACTTCAGGATATTTGGTGTGACATTCCCCATCTGCCAGCCAGGGAAATATAGTGATAAAACTACTGTGATATATTTTGTCATTGATGCATTTGATCTTTTGGTGTCAAACTGGAAGAATGTATCTAGTGGGATTCCCAAAGCATCTAGCTCTTCCCACCTTTCCCCTGTCCCATTAGTACTCAGTGTGCATAGAGAATCCACTAGCAAAACGTGCAGGGAGGGTCAGTGAATGATTTGGAGGGCAGGAATAGACAGCTAAATGATGATGATTTAATTTAAATTCAGTGAAGAAAGTGGGAAGCATTGTGCTTATGTAGGTGTAGCCAGCTGTGTGCATACAGGAAGTTCTGAGGAAAGCCCTATGGAGAAAAACCTGGAAGTCAACGTCATACAATTCCATAAAGAGCAACCATCATGCTGAAACACAAAACAAAATGTGCCACAAGACATGTGAAGTAATTTGGTCTCAGATGGAGCATTGTGTTTAGCCCTTTAAATGGCCGTACTGGGTTAGGCCAAGGATTTGTCTGTCTGTTCTAGTATCCTGATTCCAGCAGTCACCAGAAGTGAGTGCGTAAGGAAAGCATAGCAGAAAAAGCACATAAAATAATTCCCTGTAAAATTCTGTGTGCTCTTTGACCATTTGCAGCTCAGATGTCCTGCAGTGGATTGTGTTTCTGTGTAGTTAGTAATTCTAAATGCATTTTTAATCCATGAGCTTATGCAGTCTTTCGTTAAACTTGCATAAACTTTGGCATCCGTTTTTAGATCAAACTGTCACATTTCAGTAGATACGGATCGGTTTGAGAGTCTGTAGAAAAGCAATAAAGATGACATGCCACCATGAAAGCAGTGATCATCTTCCCTCCACTGCTGCCCGTTCCCCATTTTATAAGCTTTTTCTATATCAGTTACATCTCCGTTCAGTCAGCTATGTTGAAAGGAGGTAGATAAACTGTTCCTACAGATGCTAGAGCCAGGACAAAAACAATAGGTTTAAATTGCTGCAAGAGAATTTAAGTTGAGATGTTAAGAAGATTTGAAACACTGCTTAGTTAAACACTGCAGTAAGTTTTCTAGGAAGGTTTGTGGAATGGTTTTGATCTGTTTGTTTCTTGTGATTTGGGATGAGACTTGATGAAGCCTAAAGGGAGCTTCTGAAAACTTCAGTAATTTGATAAAAGTACTAGTTGTTTGTTTAGAAACTTGCAGCTGTGGCATCTCAGCAGTACGTTACAGTACTCAGACTTTTTTTCCCCCCTCTACAGAAAAGCATAAATATACTCACCGTGAATTGAACGTAAAGTATTTCATCATAAGATGGGAATTTGATGACACTTTGCCCGATCTTAGTTTCTGAAGAAGTTGAGAAAGGAAACAGGTTCTCAAAGGTCTCCAATGTTTTGCAGAAATTCTCACGTTCTGAAAAAAATCTGGCTGTGGTGGCAAACATGAGTCATCTTGACCAATCTGAAACTCCACTACAGCTTGGTTCTGTACCACTTAATACATAGGAATTACTGCCAGCCCTTTGATTTGAACATGGTATGAGCTCTGAGCCTGAAAAGTAGTTGGAGCACAGGTATTGTGTCCTGGTAACTGCCTGCATTGCTTAGTTTGTAATTAAGCAAAAAAAATTGATTGTTTTGCCAATGCCTTCAGCCAGGAAGGGTAGATGGAACCCAGTTTAATTTGAGGAGATTCAGGCTCGTACCAAACCTATAACTTGTACAGGAATCCATCCCAAAGCATAGATGGAGCACAGGAAGTCCTGGAGGGAGAGCTAGGCAACATTGCCTCCGTGCCCCTTCAGCTGGCTCTTAGAACAAGGGCTTCTTTACAGCTTAGGTGTTCTCCATCTGTTGCTTGCGTCTTGTTGTACCACTGCCTGTGGACTGTATTTGCATAAATGCTATTGGCAGCATGTCTTAATACTCTTCTTGCAACACTGTTGTAAAATGAGTTCAACTTCTGCTGAAGTCTGCTTTACTTTGAGGTTAGGTTCTGCAGGTAATTGGGTTTCCCTAGGTATTTTCTAGTTTCAGTTTGAGTTAGAAATCCTGCAACTGACTTGAGAGAATTGAATTTTTTATAAATTTGATCTCTCTTCCATGTGTTTCACATGAATAATAGTAAAAAACCAGAAACAAACCTGGGTTTGAGAAGATAGCACTTTTTTGTTAAAAGCTTAGATCATTTTTATGCCTACTAGTTTGCTGAACTGCTTCAAACTTCTCTAAAAACTTCTTTTTTCAGTGTTAGTAAAATGCTGGTTGTAGCTAAACGTGTGGCTGCTAAACCAGGATTTTTCAGAACAATTGAAGTGTGTGGAGTGTAGCACGGAGGATTTATTTCCAAGCCTTGTAGACTGGTTAGAATTGATTCCGCTCACCTCCTCCCCCAGCACAGGAACTCAGTTTGAAGGAGTGAATATTTTGCACTACTTACACTTATCCTTCATGTACCAATGTAAACTCGTGAAATTGGGACTGGTTGTCGTTGCATGGTGTTGCTTTTTCTCCTTCTCTGTAAAGCAAATGTATTTTCACACTGTTCTTGCTGTCTGATCCCTTTAATTTTTATGAGCTTTCATTATGGACATCTGGTCATGGTAACATATAAAGCTTGTAAAGCTGGTAAAGGATCAGATGCGAGGACTTAGGTATTCAGAGGTCTGGATTTGTCTTCTCTTATATCTGCATTTTCCTGAGGACAGAAAGACCACAGAGAAATAGCATTCATCATCAAACAGCAGCAAGAAGTGGCATGAGAAAGTTTTGCAACAGGATAAATACACCAAATTATACATCATTTCCTTTTGGAAAGGTTTTTTAAAAATTATTTCAATATGGCTGCATAAAACAACATAATTTTAACAGGTTTATGTTGGCTTATAGTTTGTGTAATTTTTTTAGAATGCTCTTTCTGTAGTTACATACTGGTATTATGGTCTTGTGATTGTAGAATTCCACTAGAAGTATGAAGTGCATGCCAAAAAAAGAATGAATTCTTGGCCTGTAGAATTCATGAGGGAACATTCAGTTGTTATTTGAGATATCCTGCCCCAACCTCAAATCATGAAATTCCTGCATCATAAGGGGTTTACAAAGAAGGCTGTATTTGTGGCTCATTCTAGCAGAAGCTGGAAAAATGGTATATGTCTTTACTGTTTGTATGATATGTGTGTTACCCCATGTGGCTTAATGATGCTCCAAGGAACACGTGTAAGTTGAATGATTCTTGGCAGAATGCTTCTGAAAAAAAAAAAGCACCAAGTCAGCCTGATGTTAGATTTTTTCCCTTCAGAATTAAATCTAACCATTGCAATCAAACTTAGTGTCTCACAGTTCAAAAAGTAATCTCTGTTATCCCCATTCCATTGTCTGTTCTCCCTCCAGTTCCCAATCTCCTCGTTGTAAAAGAGATGATCAAACGGCTGCAGGAGCTGCGTCATACTGAGCAGGTGCAAAGAGCATATGCTCTTAATTGTGGCGAAGGTGCCACAGTCAGTTATGAGATTCAGATTCGTGTGCTGCGGGAATTTGGACTTTCTGATGCTGCTGCTGAACTTTTACAGGTATGAAAAACTGCTGTATGAGACCACAAATACTTTGATTCTGTTCTGCTTATGAATTGACTGAATGTATAACCTGCAATAAGAACTGCTTTGTGTGTGCACATGCAGGTGCTAAAATGCCTGCATAACTTTAGAACTGTCCAGGTGCAAATTACAGTGAGACTGTTGCATTTGATGCATGTGATTTTATAAATGTGTAAGTGCAATGTATAAATATTTTTCTCAAGAGTTGTTGCCATTCAGGGTGCTCTTACTGCCACAGATTTTGGGGACAAAAAAAAAAAATCTGCCAAAGAGGCAGTTGATGAGACTAGTCAAACCATAACTAGAAATCTAGATTACGATTTATTCTTGAATCGGAGAGGAGAAAAAGTCCTAACTAATACAATAGATCTGCATAGTACCTATCAGGACTGGGAAACTGGAAATCCCACTTCTGTTTGTACACTACTGTTAAAGCAAGTGCGTTTGTTGGTCAACCAACTTACATGGTGAATCTGATTCTTGTCTTGTTTTTAAAAAAGCCTTTATTCTGTGGTAGCTGTAATTACCTCAAGTGTTGGTGAGGTTTTAGGTGGCACAACCAGGCTGTTACAGTGCTAGTGGATTTCTAGTTCTAATGCGTGTTAGTTTAGGAGATTTTTCCAGATGACTTCCTACTTTTTGTTACATGCTGGGATTTTTTTTCTTTACAGAATCCTCACAAATTCTTTCCTGATGAGCGGTTTGGGGACGAAAGCCCACTTCTGACAATGAGGCAGTCCGGACGATGTCGCGTTAATAGCACTCCCACTGCTGAAACCATGTTTACAGAACTGGACTCTTTTGTGGCCTTCCATCCACCATTACCCCCTCCTCCACCTCCATACCACCCACCAGCAACTCCTGTTCATAACCAGTTCAAAGTGGGCTGGAAACAAAGGGTGCCAAGTCAACATCCCTCCCGTTCCTTTTCTTACCCATGTAATCACTCACTATTCCACTCCCGAACTGCTCCCAAAGCTGTGCCGCCTGTCTACTTGCCCAGTGTTAAAGCAGCGCCTCCTGATTGCACTAACACTGCAGGTCTGGGGAGACAAACAGTGGCTGCAGCAGCGGCAGTGATGGCAGCTGAGAAGCAAGTAGTAAGTATTATGATTTCTCCTCTTCTCCCTGTCTCTGGCCACTCAAAGTAGCTTATAGAGCGGAGCTGGAGAGGATTCTTATGATGAAGTAACTTGGCTTTGTTAAATGAAAGAGCATCTTTGTTGGTTAGGAGAATTTTCCACCAAACTGGCTGTCAGCATTCTGTGTCTCAAAGGCATCCCTGGGAGAATGAATGTTCCAGGGGCAGGAGCATTTTGGAAGGGCAAGTGAGACTCATGAATCTTCTGAAATAATATAGTTTGCATTAAAACAAAACATAAGTCAACCTCAGTTCAGTAGTGGACTGCATGCTATAATTCATGGGTAGAAATAGTGAAGATATTTTGGCTATTCACAGGTAAGTAGTCCTGAAGTAATCAGATGTGTATAAAGGGAACCTGTGGAGAATGCGAAGGTCTTACAGCTGTGAAAAAGATTTTTAAAATGAATAAGCAAGCAGAAATTGGTAATTGCAAGTACAAAGGGGTTCGTTACAGCATTTAAAGACAATCTTTATAGGTGCTGAACTACAGTATGCTGCAGTGAAAACAGTGCACTGTAACATACTGGACAAAGATACAGCTTTGTGAAGTACATGAAAGGCTAAGGAAAGAATTTGGTAATTTACTTCTGCAGTGAAAAAACTGTTTGTGTCATACTGAAAACCTGCTCTTTAGATGCAGATTTGATCTGGATGTCTCAATGGAAACATGGATTATTTTTTTTTTAAAAAAAAAAGTTTTTCCTTTACCAATTGTCCTAAATGTATTGCACTCCTTTTTATATTTGAGGTTAAAATATTTAGCTTCAGATTAGAATTGTTTGCCATTGTTTTTCCAAGGGTGGGTTTTGTAGCATGTCTCCCTCTTGGTCAATACTTACTTCACGAAAGAAACCACATAGTGATCTTTTTCACATTAGAAATGTTTCCGCTAGAATGTTTCTATAAAAAGTGCAAAGAGAAGGATAGATTTAATATGGGTGATATCTTTGTTCTGTATTATTTCTGCAATTTGTGAGTTACTAGGAATCAACAATTACTAAAATTGCTTTCAGTAGAAATAATAAATACAAGTAGAAATTTTAACTCTTCTGTCTGAAGACTGTAATACGCTTGTTTCTTTGCAGGATTGCTTATAGGTGTAGGTGAGAAGATTGCCATGTAACAACTTCCATGCACTTTGTGGATCTAGTCAGCACTGTAAGTGGTGCTCCCCCTCAGGCCCTGAGGCTGTCGTACATGCACACACATGAGCCTGCAGTTAACTTATTTTAAAATATGAAATGTAAGCAGAAGGGTTGCATCTATAGTGACAAAATACATGTTTCATGCCTTCCCTTCACTGGAACTCTGTGCTGTAATAAACCATTTGTTAAGTTCTGCACTGAGTACCTTGTTTAGTTTGGTGATTGCAAGTGGCTTAAAGCAGGCTTACCTCTTGAGAGTTTAACATTGTCATTTATGGCATGTTCAAGACAAGGTGCGTTTAAGAGGAAACTATTATTGTGGCACAACAGCTTCATTAAGGAAGGAAATTGTCTTAAGCTAGCAGGAAGGTGAAGGCTGGAGGATACATGTATGTTCTTTAAACAGTGTAGGAAACTTGCAGGCTGAGGTTGGTCAAGGCACAGGTAGATAGGAAAATGCAGTTTTGAATTACAGAAACCGTCCTAAATACAGTTTGTGTTTAGCTTTTGATTTGTTTCCATGGACCGATTTCTTTTCTTTTCCAGTGTACGCAGCCCTTGCTGAACGAACTGATGCCAGATATTGCAATGGGTGTGTCAGCAATGTCTTTAAAAGACAGAAGATTACCAGAGCTCACGGTCGACACAGAATTAAGCCAGACAGTTACAGAGGTAGGGCCCGGTCCACCCCAGCACATTTCATGTATTCAGAACAGACACATGCCCACTTCTCGAAAGAAACATGCAATAGAGCAAAAAATTTTTGCAGGAATATCCTGACTTCTATGACTTCTCTAATGCTGCATGCAGACCCTCTACTCCAGCACCCAACAGGCACAGTCCTTCGCCTTCACAAGGCATCTATTTTGGCCCAGATTTGTACAGCCACAATAAGGCATCACCAAGTGGCTTAAAGTCAGCCTATCTACCTTCCCAGATGTCTCCTAAAAAGCAAGAGGGTTCTAGGAGGGAATACCTGCTCTCCCAAGATGGGCACCAACACAGACAAAAGAATGAGCCAATACACCTCGATGTCTTAGAACAACCTCCCCAGCGACTGGACTTGGCGTTGGCTACCCAGGAAAATGCTAGTAATGGCCCGGTTCACATCAGGGGAAGAACAAAAATGGAAACCGATTTAACCTATGGGCTAACCTCCAACAGACCTTCGCTCTCTGCATACACCTCTGAAATGCAAGAAGAGAGACCCAGTAGGAGACTGGCAGATGATGAGCCATTGGAACACGGAGCACAGAGAAACACAGATTTGGAAAGGGAAGATGCAGTAAGCAGAGGCAGGAGGTCTCCAAACAAACCAGACTTCCTGTATAAAAAATCTGCCCTATGAAAGCAACCTCGACTATTTCTCTGTGCCTAAGAGTTGTAAACATCCCATTCTTTGCAACTTTTGGCCTGACTTCCGTCAGACGAATTCGTTCATGCCAGCAGATAAATTCAGCTTCGCTCACTTCTTTTGTACATACATTGCATTATTAGAGACAGCATGTTGTCAGTTTGTTTTAAATGCTGCTTCTGGTTTTATTTTGTGGGAATTTTTTTTTTGGAGCAAATTTAATTAAGCCTTTTTTTAAAAAAAAAAAAAAGCTGGTACCTTTTTTCTACAACCTGGTAGCCTTTTGCACCTGTACATCTATTTTAGTGTATTAGTTTTGTACTAATATGTTAAGCTTTATTGTCACATTTAAAGGACTGTATTTTCATACTTTTGCATTTTTCCCTTTCACCTGCCAATTCCCTATGTGCATTGGGTTGCACATTATGAAATGTATTTTCTTATGAGATAGTAACTATGCGTTTATTTTTTCATTATAGGAATTCCAAAGAACAGCACATCAAAATACTACATTTTTAGTTAGGTTTTTTTGTTTGTTTAGATCTGAAATCTTCCTGATTTTTTTATGACTGTGGCAAGAATCCAGTCTAATGTTGTGTTTGAAAAGTTCTGGCAGCTGGTCTTAACCTTATATAGCAAGCCCACTTCAAGAATTATATTTGGGTTTTTAAGAGTCCAGGGGGATATTTAGGAGTCCAAATTCCAGTGAAATTCACTGATATCTGACAGTCTGATTCTCTTTGCCTTCTGGTTCAGTCATGGAGCACTCCATGATCACCCACGAACACTTATTAGACAGACTAGAGTTGTTCATTTGCCCAAGCAGAAATAAATCTAGAAACGCTGTAAAAATGATAGTAATAACTTGTTCTTCCAACTACTCACATGTGGGGGTAAGTGAAGACCGGAGTTGAGGATTCATGTTAAATCCTGAAGCATCAGGAAGAGAAGGCATGGTATCTTCGCTGTTGCCTGAATGGTAACCCTCCACTTGAGAGGGTTCCCTCTCCAACAGAGGTGCTGAGGTGACTGCTCATTGCTTTGCTCTGCTGCCTGTGATTAAAAAAGGGCTTCACTCTTAGTGACGTTCAGTGTTCCTTACCTGATCTGAAGTGTTGCAGACTTCATAATTGCAGCTGTTCTGTGAACAAAGTCAAAGCGAAGAGTTAACTGCTCTAGCATCATGAAATGTGCAAAGCTTTAGCATTCTTAAATTACACTTCCATTTCCTGACTTTGCTTTTTTTTAAAGCACAGAAATGCAATTCATCTATTGACGTGATGTGAAGAGGGAATGAGAGTGATCTGGGCTGGCTCCCTCCACTGGGTTGGGGTTAAGCAATGCCCTGGGTGTAACAGTTATAATTACTAAGTGCATCCTTAATACTTCCCATGCAGTTTTTGCCACAGATTCATTGCATTTAGGATAGGGATCTGATGCCGCTGCAGTGTAGTGATTACTGCTAAAGGCCTGTTTGGGGTTTTTAAATGCAGTTTCTATAATGAAGAATATCCCTGTAGGAGAAAACTTCCATCACAAGTGTGACCTAAGGACTGCTTTAGGGTTAGGTCGAGTTGTTTCCTGCAGTTCACAATGCTTCATACTATTTAAACAGGAATCTTGCTGCAACTTTAGTTTTAGTTGATAGCAGATTCTTGCCTAACCTGCTTCATTAAAGTATGCAAGGCCTGGTAACAACACCACAATGTTATTGAAATACATTGAGTACCCCGTTTCCAAAGTACCAAATGGCTTCTGGGTAAACGAAGAAATGGGTGTTTGAAGCAGTAAATCCCAATGGCTGCTGCATACGCGTCTATAGGGCTCCTGCTTCTGTGCAAGCTCTGCAGATGCTCTTTTGGAGATGCAGCATGGAAGGTGTGGTGTGGGATTTGGGGAGAAACATGGCTAAACTGTACAGGGGATGTGGCTTGTGAGTGAGGGGAGATTCCCTGCTGTCAGCCTTTTTGGGGTTTTGTTTTGGGGTTGGTTTTGGTTTTTTTTTTTGACCACAGTCAAGACACTTGGGGGCCCTGGCCTCCTCACCAGTATGTGGTGTTTCCATGGCACTGCAGTGTAGAACATTGTTAAAGGCAACAGGGTGTCCATGGGGGGACAATGCTGCTGCTGGTTAAGGACTGAGGTTCATCGGGTTTCTTCTGAAGATTTGAGCATGGTGGTGTCTGGCTGTGTAGCTCTAACTGGACACTTGGGTCTCGTGCTCACCGGCATTAGAAGCATTAACTTTCATCACACACAAAAACCCTGAAATTCCCTGCTCTTGTGTCATATGTATGTGGGTAGCTTAATTACTAAAAAGTCGTAGCTGTCCTCAGAAGACTTAATATTCTGAATAATTTATTTTAACCTAAAATCAATAGATGTACTTTGAGAAAACTATTTTAGTTACCACAGTTTGTGGCACTGTGTGTCTGGACAGAGATGGGGCTGAAATTTGCAGATGCAACTTTTAAGCTTGAAATTTATGGGGAGGTGGCTGATGAAGACTGAGAGGTTTTGAGGTTAGGGCTTGAGGGAAGTCATGAAATGCTTTGGCTTTGGAATAAGCTGGTGAGAAATGCCTCTGGGGGGGGACACATGTCTGCATTTTAGAATACAAAATTGCTTCTGAAGTCTCAGAAGCTGAGCAGTATTAAAAAGAGAAAAAAGCATTTAAAAGTAGGTGCAAATAAAAGACAAGTCCTTCTGAGGCCACAGAGACAATCAGGCCATGTAGACAATCTGCATTTTCACTTGTATATTTTTGAGTTGGGAAGAAGATAGCAGCTAACAGCAGCTGATTCAAAGTGGAAAAGAAGGATTTGTCAAATTACTGGAACTGTATTTTTGTACTCCAGCGTAGGATTTCCTACTTAGTTGGATGTGGAGAGGGAGGGGAGAGAGACCATCTTTATTCTTCATGGAAGCATTATTCAGAAGCTAGTGTTCATATTACATCTCACTGACAGAACACATGTACCTCTGCTACCTGCTGCTTCTTCTTGTTCTCCGTCTACTGGAACTTTGGTGCAAGAAGCCCCTTGTTTACATGAAGCACTTTCTGATTAGGCTGGGAATTAGCATCTTTTCCTCTTGTAAATTTGATGGAGATAACAGATTACTGACCATATTTTGCTTGAGGATACCGGTATGAACGTTTTCTTGAATGAGGAAGACTTGTGCTTCTTGCTCTGTTAGAGAGCTCAGACTTTCATTTAGGGAGCAACATGCAAAAACTTCTTACTCCCCTTTCCCTGACACCCTCCTCTTTTCCGTAATATATGGATGAATAACTTAATTCCTGAAACAGATTCTTCCTTGGAAATATTTTGTTGTTCCATGGAGTTACTGTAGTTCTGTATTAATAACTGCTGTGCTGACTGGCAGTTTCTTGTTGTATTTTTCCTGTTCTTGAGGAGTTTCACTTCTGAAAGTTCAGGCTGTGGCTGCCTGTACTTGCAAGCCTTGGTTTTTGGTCCTGGAATGTCCCAAACATTTGTCTGAGGGGTTTCTTGGGATTGGGGTTGGGGGGTGGGGGGGTGTTTTGTTTTGGTTTCTTTTGGTTCTGCTTTTTGTTCTGTTTTTTTTGTTGTTTGGGGGGTTTTGTTT